CACAGAAGAATTTCATGAAACAATGTATGAGCAAGAGCCTATGGTGATGAAGGAAGAAGTTCAGGCAGCTTTGAAAGAATTGACACAAAATAAGGCCCCAGAAATTGACGGTATAAAAATTGACATATTTCAACTAACTGATACTGCCCTAGATGTGCTCACCAAGTTGTGCCAAGAAATCTGGAGGACAACCACTTGACCAACTGACTGGAAGAGATCTGTATTTGTTCCGATTCCAAAGAAAGGTGATCTGACAGAGTGTGGAAATTATCGAACAATATCAATATCACATGCAAACCAAGATTCTGAAGCTTATCCAAAAACGACTGGACAGCACATTAACAGAGAACTGCCAGAAGTACAGGCTGGGTTTAGAAGGGGTCGTGGTACTAGGGATATTGTAGCTAATGTTATATGAGTCTTGGCTGAAAGCAGGGAATACCAGAGGAATGTGTTTCATTGATTATGCAAAGGCATTTGACTGTGTGGATCACAAAAAACTGTGGCTGACTCTGAGAAAAATGGGAATCTCAGAACACTTGATCATACTAATACAAAACCTAGACTTACACAAGGAGGCAGTCGTCAGAACAGAGCAAGGAAACACAAAAAGGTTCAAAATTGGCAAGGGTGTACGCCAAGGATGTGTCCAGTCTCCATATCTTTTCAATCTATATGCTGAACGGATTATCCGAGGAGGCTGGGCTCTATGAGGAGAAGTGTGGCATCAGGACGGAGGAAGACTCAACAAAAATATGCGTTACGCAGATGACATAACCCTACCTGCTGAAACTGTGGAGGATCTGAAGCACTTGCTGCAGAAGGTCAAGAACTGCAGCCTTCAATATGGATAGAAGCTCAATATCAAGAAAACAAAGATTCTCACCACTGGGCTAATTGGTAACATCATGATAGATGGTGAAGATATTAAGATTGTTCACAGCTTTAGTTTGCTTGGCTCCACAATCAACACTCTTGGCACCAGCAGCCAGGAAATTAAAAGACATATTGAGATAGGAAAGTCTGCTTTAGAGACCTTTCCAAAGTACTGAAGAGCAACAATGTCAGTCTGGAGTCTAAGGTATGAAGGATACAGGCCATGGTCTTTGTAATCACCCGCTATGCATCAGAAAGCTGGACAATGATGAGGGATGATAAAAAGAGAATTGATGCCTTTGAGCTGTGGTGATGGAAAAGAGTATGAAGAAGTTCATCCGGGAGAGGGTTAAACCGGGCTGCTCCTTGGAGGCAAGGATTCTGAAGTTTCATCTGATCTACCTTGGACATGTTGAAAGGAGGAACCAGTTCTTGGAGAGGAATGTCATGCTTTGAAGAGTAAAGGGACAGCCCAGGGGAGGAAGACCCTCGATGAGATGGATTGATTCAGTGACTGGGGTAACGGGGGTGAGTGTGTCAGAGACAGTAAGACTGGCACAGGATAGAGCAAGGTTTAGGGCTGTTGTACAAAGGGTCACTATGAATCGCAAGCAACTCAATGGCACATAACAAAAACAACATGTTAAAGTGTAACCTATAGTTTGATCTTCTTCAGTAAATGTTTCAAATCCTCTTTACTTTCAGTAAGGTAGTATCATCTGCATATTGCAAGTTATTGATGAGTCGTCTTCTAATTCTGATGCTGCATTCTTCTTCACCGAGTCCCGCTTCTCAAATGATTTACTCAGCATATAGATTGAATAGGTATAGAGAAAGGATACAATTCTGACATATACCTTTCCTGATTTTATATCATTCCCTTGTTCTGTTTATATGTTTCTTGGTCTACAAGCTGGTTCTGAATGAGCATAATTAAGTGTTCTGGAATTTTCAGTCTTCTACATTTTGTCTATAATTTATTATGATCCACACAGTCAAAAGTCTCTGTATAGTCAATAAAATACAAGTAAACATTTTTCTGATATTCTCTAGTTTCAGGCAAGATCCATTTGATGTCGGCAATGATCTCTCTCATTCCATGTCCTCTTCTGAATTAAGCTTTGATTTCTGGTAGTTCCTTGTCAGTGTACTGCTAGCTTTGTATACTCATTGTTGTTATGTGCTGTCGAGTCGTTTGCGACTCATAGTGACCCTATGTACAACAGCCCTAAACCGTGCTCTATCCTGTGCCAATCTCACTGCCTCTGACACACCCATCTTGATTACCCAAGTCACTGAATCAATCCACCTTATAGAGAGTCTTCCCCTCCTGTGCTATCCCTCTCCAAGGACCTGTCCCTCCTTACAACATGTCCAAAGTATGTCAGCCGAAGCCCCAGAATCCTTGCCTCCAAGGAGTAACCTGGTTTAACTCTTCAGGATGAATCTGTTTTCTTGGCAGTCCATGGTACATTCAATACTCTTCTCCAGCACCAAAGCTCAAAGGCATCAATTCTCCTTCTATCCTCCCTAGTCATTGTCCAACTCTCTGATGCATAACAAGTGATTGCAAAGACCATAGCCTGTATCAGATAGATGCACATTAGCCTCCAGAGAGACACCATTGCTCTTAAGTACTTTAGAGAGGTCCCTAACAGCAGACTTTCCCATCGCAATACGTTTTTTTATTTCCTGGCTGCTGGTGCCAAGAGTGTTGACTGTGGACCCGAGCAAACTGAAGCTGTGAACAATCTCAATCTCTTCGCCATCCATCCTGATGCTACCAATTGGTCCAGTGGTGAGAATCTTTGTCTTCTTGACATTGAGCTTCAGTCCATACTGAAGGCTGCAGTCCTTGACCCTCTGCAGCAAGTGCATGAGGTCCTCCTCAGTTTCAGCAAGCACGGTTGTGTCATCTGCATAATGCAGATTGTTAATAGATCTTCCACCAATTCTGACGCCACACTTCTCCTCATAGAGCCCAGCCTCTCAGATAATCTGCTCTGCATACAGGTTGAAAAGGTATGGAGATAAGGACACATCCCTGGCGTACACCCTTCCCAATTTTGAGCCATACATGCATTTATTTATATTTTTTTCGTTTGAATTAATGTTCACAAAGTAGATTAGTATTGTTGTTATGTGCCACTGAGTCACTTGTGACTCATAGCGACCCTATGTACAGCAGCTCTGAAGCCTTCCCTGGGCTGAGCCAGTGTGACTCATTTTAACACACTTACATCCATTGCCCCAGTTATCAATCCATCTCATCTGGGATCTTCCTCTCCTATGCGGTCCTTCTATCCTTCTGCTCATAATGTCCTTCTCTAAGGACCAGTCCCTCCTGGCCACATGCCCCAAGTATGTGAGATGCTTCAAAATCCTAGCATCCAATGAGAAACTTGGTTTTACCCTCTCCAAGACAGACCTATTTGTTTTCTTGGTGGTCCCTGGTATGTTCAATACTCTTCTCTAGCACCACAACTCAAAGGTGTCAATTCCTCTTCTGTCATCCTTTTGTCATCACTGTCCAGCCCTCTGATGCATAGTAAATATTTTGAAGCCCATGGCCTGGATCAGGTGTACCTGTCTCTAGATGTCATTGCACTTTAGTACTCTGGAGAGGTCCCTCACAACAGATTTTCCCAGGGCAATTCGTCCTTTAATTTCTTGACTGCTGGTGCAAAGTGTATTGACTGTGGAGCCAAGCCCCTGCTTGTGTAATTGTTAACAACCTCAATCTCTTCTCCATCATGGTGGTACTAAATGGCCCAGTGCTGAGAATCTTTGCTTTCTTGATGTGTGAGCGTCAATCCATCTGAAGACTACAGTTCTTGCCCTTCAGCAGGTCCTCCTCCATTTCAGCAAGCAAGGTTATCTGCATAACGCTTAGACATTGCTTTATGACACGGATTACAATCTCCACATTGTATCATCTTTCTTCCCCCTATCTCTCTGTGATTCCTGTTTCTATTTATCCCTTGATTCTCTCCCTTACTACCTTCTGAATTTTATCCTTGGGTAAATGCCACCCTAATGATCTTGTGTAGCTACATTTTCTAAGTACTGGCTATCTCCTTGGTGCCACTGTTCTCCTTATGGGTCTATATATTGTTTGGCCGAAAGTTGTGCCTCAAGAATGGTTAAGGTCCACAGTCTTGGGGGTTCACTAGACTCGGACATACTAGTGATTTTTACCATTACTGTGACTTTAAAATATATATTTATCTCCTACTCTATTCAGGACCTGGTATAGTAATGCCCTTCTGAATAGTTAACAGTAGTAGACAGGACCATATAGTCCTGGTCTCAGAGTTGTCAATGTTGAGGACTGTGTGGTCCACTGGTGCTATGGACTAAATGTTTCCATGCATCTTTGATTTTCTTCATTCATCTCTGCTGCAGACAAAGTGAGACCAGTGGGTGCACCTCATGTGGCCACTCACAAGCTTTTATGTCTCCAGTCACTACTCACCAATGTACAGTGTAGAACTCTGTCTTCGTGAACTATTGTTGGTGACCCTGGTATGCCTTGAAGCTATGATCCTGAGGCCCCATGATCAGTGACCCATTCCCTCAGAGAATGGTTAGGATTAAGAAGTTTATGTAATATTGCAGCTGTTGGCTATGTGGACACATTAAACAAATGACAGTCTCTATCTTTAGACGAAGAGCTTCCCAAGAACAGAAAATGTTGTTCACCTTCTATCCTTGATAACCACAACTGCCTGGTTCATGGTCACATTTATGAGCTACTTGACTCAGGACAGGATGTCTGATCAAATTTCAACAGTTTATACTTTAATAAATCCCACCAGTATATAAATTTCTTATTTATGGTTTTATCTCTAGTATCTCATAAAATTCCAAGCACAAAATAGACACACAATAGGCGTTTGCTGAACTAAAGCAGGTACATATACTTTTTGCAATCATTTTTCTAATTATGATCTCCAATTTGAACAAAAGAATTAGTGTGAAAAATCTGAGGATGACTGACATTCTCTTACTAAGATTTTTGAGGTTATTTTCTTTAACACGATCCAGTATACCACCAAAAAGCTGTGATTATGATTGTGGAAAGAATAATCATAACATACAGGTGAGTACCCAAACTGATGTACCTTCAAACTGCAAATCATCCACAGCTGCCATTCAGCCAGTGGGTCTTCCACCAATTACTCGGAAGAAAATCTGCAGCGGTCTGAAAACGAAATGAGTAAACTTAGTAAGAGTACTAACAAGATAAAATAATCGCAAGCAAATTTTAATTCCGCATTTGAAACAGTATTGCTTTCCCTTACCTCCTTTTCCAGTGAGGTCTGTTGGTTTTCTATAACGTAAGTATTTAGCATCAGGTATTACTAAAATTACTTAATAATTAATTATCAAAGGAGAAAAAAACAAAACTTAACCCAGGGGATTAAAACTCCATCCAATCTCACTCACAGCGTGTGTATTTAGGGACTAGATGCAGCCAGGAGACTAGAGGATAAGAAGAGACCATAGATAGAAAAGGGGTTTAAGGGGGAGCGGTTAAGTGAAGGTAATTTAGCCTAGCCAATGGTTAAGGGCACAGGCTCTGGGGTCAGAGAGACCTAGGTTTGACTCTGGATTCTCCTGCTTCTCGCTGCTTGACTATTCCTCGAGGTCTCAATTTCCTCATCTGTAAAATGGGTTCATAAAGGTATCTACTAACAGGGCTGCAGGGACTATTAAATGAGTCAGTGCACAGAAGGTGCTGAGCGCAGAGCCAGGCAATTTGCATGCGCTGGGGATGAGTGCTGGAGACCCTGCAGCCTGGGAGAGCATGAATCCAGGTGAGTTACGGAAAGAGCTGCCCTGGAAGCAAAGACAGAGGAGATAGGCCACAGCAGCCAGTTGCTCCTGGCTCCTCACCACCCCGGATCGGCCCCACAGGTCTGGCCGCCTCACCTTGCGGGGCTCAATTCCCTATGCTTCCCGGGGAGGTTCGGGCTTCCAAAGCTCAGCGCCAGTTCCGGTAGCACCCAGTTGCCGGAAGCCGGAGATCCGGGGGCGGAACAACCCCGCCTCCTACGGGCAGAGCCCTGCCACCTTAAAGAGGCCGTAGCTCGGCGAACTCAAGCTTTCCTGCACCTCCACGGGCAGGGATGCTCTCCCCTCGCCTTGCTCGCCTCGCCTCTGGAAGGCGGCTCGCTGAGAGTCCAGTTCCCCTAAGCTTCACTCAGGGTGACGATCAGAATTATTCCCAGGAGTATCAGGATTCCCTGCTGTTTGTTTATACTTCTCTTTTATCTCTGGTGTTAAGAGATCGCTTCTCCGCCTTTTGGCTAAGATCAAGTGAAGAAAAGAGTACTGAATACCCCACAGACTTACAGAACCACAAACAGGTGTTTCTTGGAGAAAGTGCAGACAGAGTGCTCCTCGGAGACAAAGATGATAGAACTTTGTCTCACATACTTTGGGCATGTTGCTAGAAAAAGCTATTCTTTGGAGACAGATACCAAGCTTGGAAAGAGGGAGGGATGGTGAAGGATAGGAAGATCCTCAACCAGGTGGATTAGCACAGTGACTGCCACAAAGGGCTCTGGTGGGTCAGGAAATGTGAGGATGGCACAGGACAGGACAGGGTCCAGATCTGTTGTTTATTGGGTCGCTCTGAGGACGGCACCTAACAACAACAATCTAAATTTAAAAACAGGAGCCCTTATGGCATCGTCCACAAGAGAAATACAAGCGATCTTCTTGCGTGCGAGTTACAGCCTCCGCAAACCACTGGAATGGTGGTGAGTTCGAGTTGAAGATGAATGTGATGATACAATATGGGGGGGAAGCTGGACTTTAGGAGGAAGACTCACCAGCAACCTGTGTTATGCAGATAACTCAACCTTTGCTCACTGAAACTGAGGAGGACTTAAAGTATTGGCTGTAGAAGGTTAATAACTGTAGCTTACAATATTCATGGAAACTCAAAATCAAGAAAACAAAAAATCGAGCCTCCTGGCTGGGAACACAAATTTAAAAAGGTGAGGGGAAGCGCCCCCCCTCACTACCCTATCTGGGATAGTAACAGCCCATCCACCCTACTTAAGGTGGAAATGCTGGATCTGAAGGTAGACAAGGATGAACTGGGGGTGTTCAGTAAGGGTGCCTCATTGCTGGACATGAATTCCTTCAGTTCTTTGATGCCAACCTCCCTTTTATCAATGTTTGTTTGTTGTTGTTAAGTGCTGTCAAGTCATAGGAAACTCATAGTGACCCTATGAATTAAAGCCCTGGACACTCATCCTTTCTCCAGGTTCATAGGGTTTCTGGAGGCAAGCTCTTTCAGAAGTTGATGCCACTTCTGCTTCCACGCTTGTTCTAATCAGGGAGCTCCACCAAACACTGTCCACCATGGGTAACCATTCTTGCCTTTGACACATCAGTGTCACAGTGTACAGCTTCACAGCTACCATGAGTTACCTCTGTACAGCAAGTGGACAGACCAGGGCTATATGACCTAGATGAGTGTTTCACCAAAATCAATTCAATTAAAGACAGGCCTGAGGGCCGTGGATTTGAGTCACCCAACTTTGGCTTGGAAGTGTCACTTTCTATCCACTAGGCGAACTGAGCTCTCTTTATGCCTTCTTTGTTGTTAAGTTCCATCGAGTCGTAGGCGACTCATAAAAACCCTATGAACGAAAGTCCTGGACACTTGTAAACCAAATTAAATTTGAAGCTGAGCCATGTTTGAAAGATTGGTTCATTATAGCTGATGAACCCAAAAGCCATGTTACTATAATTGAAACTTTAATTACTTTCATGAGGATTAAGACATCTTATAGTGAGTTTGGCTGTAGTGAGTTTGAAGTTAGAAGATGCTATCAAGATTTTCTGTGGTTGAAGGGAAGACTTGAAGAAGCACTATGATTATTCCTTCATTGTCAGAAGTTTATAGTAAAAGGAATGGTGAAACAATTCAGTGACAACTTAATTGAAACACTGAGAAAGATGTTGCATAAATTTTTTAATCATATTGCTGATAATCCAACTTTAACATTTAATGAAGACTAAAGTTTTTCTTACTGCACATACGTGGGAATTGTCTTCTCACAAAAAAAAAACACAACACATCAATCAGCTGAATGGGGCAGATGGTCAGAGCTGTTTCATACTCAATGGGAGGAATTCATAGATATGAATAACTTTATTGAAATATTTGTTGTTATGTGCAGTCAAGTTGCTTGCAACTCAGTGACCCTATGTGCAATAGCCCTGAAACCTGCTCTATCCTGTGCCAACTTTACTATCTCCAACACACCTACCCTCATTACCTCAGTCACTGTATCAATCTCCTCGATGGTCTCCCTTTCTTTCTCTGTCCCTCCACCCTTCCAAGCATGATGTCCCCCTCCTTGCAAAATGCCCAATGTCTGTAAGAAAAAGCTTCAGAATCCTTGCCTCCAAGGAGCAGCCTGGTCTCACCCTCTATAGGACAAAACTTTGTTCTCCTGGCATTTCATGGCATATTCAAACCTCTTCATCAGTACCATAGTTCAAAGGCATCAATTCTCTTTCAATCATCCCTAATCACTGTCCAGCTCTTGCAAGCAATTGCGAAGACTATGGCCTGGATCAGGTGCACCTTAATCTGCTGACTAACACCATTGCTTTTCAGTACTCTGAAGAAGTCTAGACAACTGACTTTCCCAATGCAAATCCTCTCTTGACTTCCTGGCTGCTGGTACAAGAATGTTGATTGTGGAGCCAAGCAAACTAAAGCTGTTAACAATCTCAATCTCTTCACCATCCATCATGATGCTGCCAATTGGCCCAGAAGTGAGAATCTTTGTTTTCTTGATGTTGAGCTTCAATTCTTGATCTTGTGCAGCAAGCTCTTCAGGTCCTCCTCAGATTCAGCAAGCAGGGTTGTGTCATCTGCATAGCACAAGTTGTTGATGAATCTTCTTCCAATCCTGATGCCACACTTCTCATAGAGCCCAGCCTCCAGGATAATATGTTCCACATATAGATTGAAAAGATATGGAGATAGAAGACATCTTTGATGTACACCCTTCCCAATTTTGAAACTTGCAGTGTTTTCTTGTTCTGTTCTGACGACTACCTCCTGGCCCAAGTATAGGTTTCACATAAGCATAATCAAGTGTTCTGGGATTCCCATTTTTCTCAGAGTCAGCCACAGTTTGTTGTGATCCACATAATCAAATGCCTTTGCATAGTCAATGAAACACAGATAGACATTCCTCTGGTACTCTCTGCTTTCAGCCAAGATCCATCTGACTTTGGCTAGAATACCCCTAACTTTCTGCTTTCAGCCAAGATCCATCTGACATTGGCTATAATACCCCAAGTGCTACGGTCCCTTATAAATCCAGCCTGCACTTCAGGCTGTTCTCTGTTGATGTGCTATTCCAGTTGGTTTTGGATAATCTTCAGGAGAATCTTGCTTGCATATGATATCCATGATGTTGTTGTTGTTAAGTGTCATTGAGTCTAGATGACTCATAGTAACCCTATGAACAAAAGACCTGAACACTTGTATAACTTTCATCATTTCTCCAAAATCATAGGGTTTCCAGAGGCAAGCTGTTTCGGAAGTGGATGCCATTCCTGCTTCCAAGCTTATTTTAATCAGAGAGCTCCACCAAATACTGTCCACCATGAGTAACCATTACCACATTTGACACATCACTGTCACAGTATTTAGCATCACAGCAACAACGAGTTACCTCTGTACCACAAATGGATAGACCAGGGCTATACCACTTAGAAGAATGTTTGACCAAAACAATTAAAACTAGGTCTGAGGACCACAGATTAAAATCACTCACCTTTGACTTGGTAGCATAACTTTTTATCCACCAGACCCACAAAGCTCTTTATGTTGGCGTTGGTGTTGTTAAGTGCTGTCGAGTTGTAGACGACTCATAGCGACCCTATGAACGAAAGACCTGAACAATTGTATAACTTTCATCATTTCTCCAAGTTCATAGCATTTCTATAGACAAAGCTATTTCAGAAGTGAATGCCACTCTTGCTTCCAAGCTTGTTACTGTTCGATAATTTCTGCACTCTGTTGGGTCACCTTCCTTTGGAATGGGAACAAAATATAGATCTCTTACATACAGTCAGTTGGCCAGGTGGTTGTCCTCCAGATTTTTTGGCACAACTGATGAGCACATCCAGGACACCATCTGTTTATTGACATATGTCAAT